ATGTGGCCCGGCCATGACGTCACGTGCGCCCCGCGCCTTTTGAATCTTGCGTTCGATGGCAGGTGTGGGAACTTGTCTGTGCAGGATTGTGACGGCTTGTATCACACCGTTTTGCATAATTAGCTGGAGCAATGGCTCGAGTCGGTCAACTGTAGATGAGACATGCTCTTATAAGCCAGCCTACATTGCCAATAACGATGGCCTCAAAATACTCATGCGTTTTGAGGCGGGTGGGCCGGGCGCCGCCTGCAGCGGGCCGCGCGCCGCGCGCCGGCCGTGCCTTATGCGGAGATGGCCGGCGCTGGTGGCCGCTCGGCACGTTTGTTTTGGCCGGCGGCCGGCGGCCGAGTGAGCCATCCGATCGCCGGTGGCCGCTGATTGTTATTGCCACCCGGCCGGGCCGGCGTGCCCGCCAGCGGGCCCTTCCTGCACGCGACCCGCCGCCCGCAGCCGGCCGGGCGGCGGCGCCGCTCGCGCGCAACAAGGGCACGCCAGCGGCGGAATTGAGCGGTGGTGGCCCGGCCGCCTTCCCCGACATCCCGGCCCGTGTAATTGTTTTTCTCTTGTCGCAGGTGATAGATAGCGCACCGAGGCGGCCTGTTTTGCTCATGTAATGCATGCTAAACGGCGGATACGGCCGGGCGAGGAATGGCGCATTAGCGGTCGTTTGTCCGGCATGCGGGCGGCGCGCGGCCGCCCTCTCTCGGCCCCAAAACACGGCCGGCAGGAAAATCTCGGCCATTTATCACGTCCGTCGCTCCTCAGCACGTCATCAATCGGAAATCGTGCCGTCTCACGAGCCGAGGCCGCCTGACAAATAGACGAGCGTTGCGGCCCGGCCCGGCTGCCAAACAGGTGGCGAGGCACCGACTAAATTTAGGCTAATATAATCAGCCGGATGAGTTGATTGGCGCGGTAAACGGTCGGCTGTGGCTGGGCAGACGGGCACCAGGGGCGAGACTGGGCCAGGCGCCGGCGCGCGGCCGCCGTCTGAGCCTGCCCGGCCCGCCAGCGCTGCACGGCACCGGCCGTCTGGGCGGCGCGGACCCGGCACCTCACCGGCACCGCTGGCCGGCTGCACGCGCCGCTCCACGGACCAGCCGGGCCGCCTGGTCTTGCGATGGCAGGTGACTGGGACACTACGCTTGTAATGTGGCAGGAGAGCCGACCGGCGGGAAGCCTCGACTGGCTGTGTCTTTGGTCAGCAAGGGATGCCTTTGGAATAAGTTCTTTCCGCCTCCTTTGTTAAGTGCGTAGCATACCGGCTTTACGCTATTGCAATTGCTTAATTGTTTACAAGTTGTAGTTGCTTAATATGCTCATCTGAGGCTATTTCGTAGAAATGCACTATAAGGTCAAAGGTCAAAATAAGGTCAAAATTATTGACGCCACCTGTTTACGGTGCCCTTTATTTAACTCCTTGGAAATACTGTACTGCCAAGGTGTTCTGACAATTCTTGGATGATAGTTGATATTGTTTCTCGAATCACATGCGTTCTCATGTCATTCAGCCTTATCAATTCCTGTCGTCGACCGCCATTTTTAGTGGCAGGTCAGGAACTACCGTTTACCGTTCATTTTACCGCTACTTGAGTCGGTGGCTTAATCCGCGATCGCCTATGGTCAAAAGTAACCCCTCCAAATTCCTGCAGTAATTTACGAACCATGCCAGGAATGACCACGAAATCTTCGGGACCCGTCAAACTGTCGACTGGACACATTCTGGTGAAACTACTGTTTCGATGCCGGATCCGCTGACGGAGCTGTGACGTCACTCATGACGACAGGCCGCCGGGCTGCATGTGCGTACAGGCTGTAGCCCGTTCCGGCAGGCTTTTGTTTTCAATCATTTTGATGTGAGCGAGCAATTAGATGGGCTGTTTGTCATCCGTTATCGATCATGTCATATGAGGGACGCGTGTGACCGAAAGGGGTCATGTGAGGTCAGCTTGCAAGTCTCGCACTGAAGTGATATGACCCGCGCATTCCTGGTAGTTAGCCAGGAAATTTGAGTCATTTAACGAGCCAATTAAGAACCGACCAGAGGACACTATGACACAATAGGACGCCCTCGCCGATTGTACCGCCTTCACGTTACATAGTTCTTTCGTCTGTGCGTAATCCGTCGTTTTGACCTTCCTGAAAATGGTTTATCATGCAAAATGACCATTAAGTATTAAATCCTATATATATATATATATATATATATATATATATATATATATATATATATCATGGATTAAATACACGTGTTGTATTTTTTACTGTTATGTCATTGTAAATTTTGAAAGGTCATTGTTTGAATCGTGTGTGTGTGCACTTATTATGTTCGGCGCCATTCTGTTCAAACATGTTTAAAAACAATCGCGACACATAGTACTCCCTATCACCGTAGTGATGTAGCATATATCTTATCTGCATGTACGTCGCATATGGGATGTATATGTATCCCAAATACGAATGTCCAAAACTCGATATTCTTAGTAGGTCACAAAGGTCATTGCTCCGGTCACATTAGGTTGGTGGAGCGACCTGACATGCATTTTTCTCCAAAGGAAGCGCCAAACATCATTTATCTGCGTAGCATCCTTGACATCACCGCCAGCCATCGACCTGTGTTTTACCAAGCATTGGAGAAGTGCAGGCGACACCGGCCTCTCATCCGAGTTTTACAGTACCGGGAGCACGGCGGCGGGGTGATCGGGACCGCGACCTGCATTACAGAGCGGCCGCCCAGCTCTGGCGCGCGGGGCGTCGGGCCGCCGCCGCCGCCGCCGCCGCCGCTCGAGTCGGCCGGCCCGTGGCTGGCCTGCGGCGGCGGGTGGGGGCGCACCGAGCCAGGAGTAGGGGGGGGGGGGGGGGGGGTCGGGCCAGACGCCGGTGAGACGTTCGACAGCGTAGTCGACAGCGACTGAAGGAGCGCGGGGAGGGGCGGGCTCGGGGCGCCTCGGTGAGGCGGTGATGGCTCGGCACGGCCCCGAGCTGCGACTGCCGTCTGCGCTGGACACACGGCGGTCGGGCCGAATGTCCGCGGCCGGCGGCCCTGCGACGGAGGGCGCGCTGCCAGCAGGCATTGTGTACCCGTCGGCAGGGTGCATGCCCCGCGCAAGACGCGATGCTCTGGAGGGGAGGGGGAGGGGCTCGACGGATGCCGTATGGCGTAACTACCAGCGCGGCCGGGCGCGGCGCGTGTCGCCGGGTGCACCGGGCCCGGGGGTGACTACGGGCAGGCGCTTCGTAGCCGAAGCAGGCGCTGCCGGCTTCGTATGCCCTGGTTCTGTGCTTTTGTCGGGCCGATCTGGTGTTGCTGATTCATTAAGCGAGTAGTGTTGCACTACAATGAACCAAACAAGAAACCGACCGGATTTTGCACTACTGGTTGATGAAAAGTCCCTATAATGGAATCTATGCAGATTTCGTGGAAAAACTCAGCCGACCGCCCTCCATTTGATGAGCACGCCGGCACATTCTCAGATGATTTAAACATCGTGCGGATTATTTGCCATTCGATAATGAACCTGCTTGAAAAGTACACCTTTCAATGAGCTTTAGGCACATTGTCTTTTTGAATCGTCTTATCACTCGCGCGTAACCATCGCTGCACACAATCCTGGCTTGTAAGATGGCTTTTGACACGATCACTGCGTGTGGCGCGGCGCGATCTGATTTCGCACTGTGGGACCACTAAGCCCACGAGCTCCTGATTACTAATCGGATCAACGGGAGCTTAGTGGCGTTTGCGTCAGTCGGGTCTTCGCTTGACGGCCTCAGCCCGCGCGTCGCACGGCCGGACCCACGCGCGTCGCGCGACGTTCTGTGAAGAGATTAATCCTGTCTGCAGGATGCTCACGGGGACGAAGGAATGCACGTGGCGCGCTCCCGGTTATCCTGGTATCGATCATCGCGTGATCCCAGACGATCAATTATGTGCCATCTCACCTCCCAGAATCGTCCTGATGCTTGCAGTAAGCGGAACCCCCTGCTAGCCTCCGAGAGCATGTCTTCCAGTCAGCGGGCCGTGGAGGTACCTTCCCAGGCCCCATCATCCTGGGATTTTCGCGACTGTCAGCGGCGACATTGCGGCGCAGATCGCGCGTGGCGTTTACTGCGGGCCGTGTATCAGCCCTGCGAACCGGCGTGGAGGCAGGCTGTGGCCGGGCGTCGGTGACGGTGACCTGGTGACGAACCGACGGGGAGGCTGGCTCTGGCCGGGCGTCGGTGACGGTGACCCGGTAACGAACCGACGCGGAGGCTGGCTCTGGCCGGGCGTCGGTGACGGTGACCCGGTAACGAACCGACGGGGAGGCTGGCTCTGGCCGGGCGTCGGTGACGGTGACCCGGTAACCCGGTGACGGCCGGGCGCCGGCTGGCGTCCGGCGGCCGGACGTGTTGTGCTGTGACGGCAGACGCGGCGGCCCGGCTCGGCAACAGGGCGCCCGCCGGCCGTGCCGGACCTGACGGCCGCGGCGCACCTGCTGACCGGCGGCCAGCCGGCCAGCCGGCGCGCTGTCAAGCGGCCGAGCCCTCCCGGCCGCGACGCAGCGCAGCCCGGAGGGGGCCGGCCCACAGAAGCACTCGGAGCCGGCAGGGCGCCACTCTGTGAACCATCCATGCGGACTCGGGTGGCCGGCTGACGGCGGCTGCGCTGCTGGTGCCCAGCTGTGTGCCGGTGCGGCGTCGGCCACACGGCGGCGGTTGATCGCGGGCGGCGGCGGCCCCGTTGGCCAGCTTCTGGCTGCCTGAGGCCCGGCCGGCTCCCCACCGCTGCCAGCTGAGCCTGGCTGGCGACCTCTCGGTGGCTCGGGCCTGATTGGCGACACCTCGGTGGCTCGGGCCGTGTCTACAGTCTCTGCCCCACATGAGAAGCACACCACTTCAGTGACATGGTGTTGGGTGCTCATGGCACCCTAGTTCTCACCACATCCCGCTGATGTGGGTCTCGTGTGGAAGCTGGATGTCCGCGTTGTGAGCGGCCGTGTCAGTGCCTTGTCTGTTTGCAGAAGGATGTGCTGGAGTCGTCGGCGCTGAAGCTGACGTCCCGCGAGCGGCGCTTCATCAAATTCGCCTCCGTGGAGTACAAGGGCCAGCTGTACATGACCACTCAGGACTTCATCGAGAGCATCACTGAGGCCGAGCCCAGACGTAAGCCGGCCAGCCCAGCTGGATGACGCGTGCGCTCGTGCAACTGCGGCTGCTGCCGGGTCTCCTTTTTGTCGCGCGTACTAAGACGTGTCTCCTCAAATGGCACGTTCTGGCTAAGCCAGTCATGTGAGGACTCATGTGTGATTAATGGCACTAAGTTTGAGACGTGCCGTACGGGGACGGCGGCCCCTGACGCTCGCCGATTTTTAATGTCTCCTCCCCCCCCCCAGCGATGACTTCAGTGACCCATTGCCTTCTTGCACCGCGTTGTTGTACAGAAGACGTCGCTCGATGTCGTATTTTTCGTGTTCCGGACCAACCTGTTCCTTGCATTGCCCGGAACCCCCAGAAGTGGCCGTCACTAATCCTGTCCTGATCGCGTATGCGATGTCCAACGGCGGAGCGTCGCAGAGGTAGCCGGTTGGTGGTTGCGCGCCTCATGTTGCCACATTTGCTCATCGCCGTGCCCGTGGCTGCTCAAGTCGGCAGAAAGGCCGTTGGGGGCATTCTGCCGACTTGGGGAGGGGGAGAGGAGAGGGAGAGGCCGCAATCACTCACGTCTGGACGTGTCCCCCCCTGACGGGGCTGAACACCTTGACGCGTCGGGCGCTTGCGCAGCTCACGACTGGCCACCGGCCTGCAGAGCGTGCCGCGGCGGCAGGCGGCAGCGCGGTCAGCACGGGTGCCGGTGCTGGCGTGGCTGCGCGTGAGCGCCCTCCGGCCCTGACGAGACCGCGGCCGGTCGTGTGTTGCAGCGCGCCTCAAGCGCCGGATGCTGCTGCAGCGCGACCTGGACCACTTCTACGCGGTAACGCCGCGCGCCAGCAAGAGCACCACGCACATGTTCCGGGACCTGCATGACACGGGTAATCAGAGGGGCCGACCGCCGGCGCCCTCCAGCCGACCGGCGCCGTGGCGCGGGACCGCGCCGCAGACGGGTGGTGTGAGGTCGGGCGGGAGGCGGGCGGGGGCTGCGTGTGTACGGTGGCGCCACCTGGTCGCCATGTGCCTCGCCCTGGTGGCATCTGTGTGCACTGGCCGCTGGGGGAGGGGCCTGTCCTGGAAGGTCCTGTACAGCGTCACCGACCTCAACGCCTCCACACAGCCGTCATTTGGCCGTCCGTCTCGCCGCCGGCGGGCTGAAAGAGCGGCGCCGCTAGCCAGCCGCGCTGCCGGCCCGACGTGGCTGCTGACCGGCGCCGAGCTGGGTGGGCCCCGCCCGCGCCCCCTCTCGGCACTGGCAGGCGTCGGGGCCCTGTGGCGGGGCTCTGACCGGGTGTATTTTGCACACAGGTGTGGAGCGCTGTGCCATAGTGGCAGACGCGTCCTCTGTCGAGCACAGTGAAGCTTTTGTCCCATTTTTTTTTCTCAAAGATGCGTGGACAATTCCTCGACCACTTATCGACATTGGTGTTGTGTTTTGACGCCGGGTAAAACGGACGCAGCGCTGCGTGTCAGAACACCGTGGTTAGAACTGCGTCATAATGAGGAATCGGTGAGGTTACGTCCAGATTATTAGGTCGATCATTTCGCTTGGACTTGTAAGGATTGACTGTAAATCAAAGCCGCACACTAAAGCACCCGGTTTTGGCTGTGGTTAAATATAAAGGAATTTCCGGAAATATTTTCCTTCAGCGATAGTTAGATCATATTCTGATTCTGAATATCATGCCATACGACGGGTGAGGAGGCGCAGCAGCTTCTTGACTGTACTGGCCTGTCTCCTCAGCATACAGAGGGCACTGATGTATCTCTCTGCAAACGAACACGGATACGACAGTGAGAAGTCCCAGGATGTGGTCGGCGCCTCGGCCGCAGCGTGGTTCTGCTCTGACGGCTCGGTTGGGGCTGTGGTCGCTGGCCTGTGGTAATACGGTATTGGACGGCTGCTTTCCTGCGTACCGCGTCCGCACAGTTCCGGCAGTGGACAGATGTGGGCGGCTAGAAATCCGTCGCGCTTACGTTTCTGCGGCTCCTGCTCAGACAGACGAGCTCTTCTGCGTCGCACATGGAGCGAAGTCATACGGCGTCCGCTAGGAATGCAGCAGCCTCCGCCGGGCATGCCGCACTGTAGCGTTGCGACGCTTTGCGCAGTTCAGAGGCCCAGTGCATCGCGGCGGACCGCTAGCGTATTACTGATAGGCAAAGCAAAGGCGCGCCGGCACATGATTTACTGTCAATAAGCGTCTTAGGCTGATTGATGCTTGTCTAACAGCCGGCGTATTCCGACGAAAGGAATTTTATCAGCCATTGACACGTCTCTACGCTCTTGACTCGCTCTTGATTTAGTGAGTTTTCAAACAGATGCTGAAGACACTTTTTTTCGCTAATCTTACCTATTGTGCATACTAATCAGCTGGTACCAGCCAAGTGTCTCAGATAAAGGGAACAATACCGCCTTATCTTGTTAATGTCATCTCTCCATATTCCTTCCAACGTCTGCATTTAACCGCAGCACGGGAAGTGGGCGGCCTTCTTGGACCTTCTGGTTACATGGCACAAGGTCGCCATGCTGGGGACGATTGTCTGGCCCGCTAGAGGTACCGCTCGCCAGCAGTGGCTCACGCTCTCCATGGCTGCGGGCCGATGACAGCCTGCTCCACCCGTAAACGCCTGCGGCGTAGCCGGAGGGGAGGCTAGGGGACGGGACTGGTGCCGCTGCTCTGAGGCCACGGCAGCTGGTGGTGCAAGGCCTCTGCCGCTGCTTGTTGCGCGTCTCCAGCGCGCAGTGTCGTACCGCATGCGGTCGTCACACCCCTAAAGCGGCTGCCATTGGTCTGCTTCGGTGCGTTCGCTGCCAGTGATCGGACGCAGGGTCGGCTGACCTGGCTGGGTGGTGCGCACTGGTCCGCTGGCCTGGTGCCGGTGAGGCCGAGTCCGTTGACCTGGTGAGAACTGCATGGTGCGCTGGCTAACGCCCGTGCTGACCGGTGAGGACGCCGTGCACAGAGCCGGCAGCCCAGCACGTGTCCGGACAGGCCGGCAGCGCAGGCGTCAGGCTGCGGTGCGGTGTCTGGCACTGTCGAAGGTGCCCGGTGGGAGTTCGTAGCACCAGCGATCTGTGGCGGCGCCGCGGCTGCACCCGCACCTACAGCTGAACGGAGAGCGGGCTGAGTGCGAGATGGCGGGGGACGCTGCCCGCCCAGCTGGCAGGTACGCGCCTCCGGGCCAGGAGACCTTCCAGTGACGACAATGCCGAGGAGGGAGTATCGTCCGTGTCCTGAGCAGCGGCAAGCCTGGCCTGTCGTCGGTGGGACCACCGGACGAGACATGCCGGGTGGTCGGCGAGCTGCGCTGCTCGGCCTGTGCACTGAGCGGGCACCGCGGTTACGGCGACCGTACCGACTACAATCCTGATGACGCCGGGCCAACCGCGCCGGGCGAAGACGCGTCGCACGCGCAGAACTGCACGTGACGCGAGATCACGTGGGATCGCGTCGCGCTGGTAGGCTGAGGCCGATGTTTCTGCCGTGGCTGGTAGTACACTGAGGAAGGACCCGCGGCGTGTGTGGGGATTGGCCCGCGCTGTCTCCCGGACCGTGTCCGCATGCATGGCGCGCTCGTGAGGTCCGCACACCTCTCCCCGGAGGGAGGGCGTGTGTGGGGATTGGCCCGCGCTGTCTCCCAGACCGTGTCCGCATGCATGGCGCGCTCGTAAGGTCCGCACACCTCTCCCCGGAGGGAGGGCGGGGGTGGGGATTGGCCCGCGCTGTCTCCCAGACCGTGTCCGCATGCATGGCGCGCTCGTAAGGTCCGCACACCTCTCCCCGGAGGGAGGGCGGGGGTGAGGATTGGCACGCGCTGTCTCCCAGACCGTGTCCGCATGCATGGCGCGCTCGTAAGGTCCGCACACCTCTCCCCGGAGGGAGGGCGTGTGTGGGGATTGGCCCGCACTGTCTCCCAGACCGTGTCCGCATGCATGGCGCGCTCGCGAGGTCCGCACACCTCTCCCCGGAGGGAGGGCGGGGGTGAGGATTGGCCCGCGCTGTCTCCCAGACCGTGTCCGCATGCATGGCGCGCTCGTCAGGTCCGCACACCTCTCCCCGGAGGGAGGGCGTGTGTGGGGATTGGCCCGCGCTGTCCCCCAGACCGTGTCCGCATGCATGGCGCGCTCGTGAGGTCCGCACACCTCTCCCCGGAGGGAGGGCGGGGGTGCGGATTGGCCCGCGCTGTCTCCCAGACCGTGTCCGCATGCATGGCGCGCTCGTGAGGTCCGCACACCTCTCCCCGGAGGGAGGGCGGGGGTGAGGATTGGCCCGCACTGTCTCCCAGACCGTGTCCGCATGCATGGCGCGCTCGTAAGGTCCGCACACCTCTCCCCGGAGGGAGGGCGGGGGTGAGGATTGGCCCGCACTGTCTCCCAGACCGTGTCCGCATGCATGGCGCACTCGTGAGGTCCGCACACCTCCCTCGGAGGGAGGGCGGGGGTGAGGATTGGCCCGCGCTGTCTCCCAGACCGTGTCCGCATGCATGGCGCACTCGCGAGGTCCGCACACCTCTCCCCGGAGGGAGGGCGGGAGTGTGCCTCGCAGGATTACCTCGTTCTGTGCGATGTCCCCATGTTTCTTGCGTACACACTGCGCGGTGTGAAAAGAGAATGCAGCGTGTTCGTGTCCACCTGGCGCCCGGGCGGGCGTGCGTTGTGGACGCGGGTGAAACTAACACAGTCGTGTTCTTTCCAGGGATTATATCGTACACAGAGTATCTCTTTCTGCTCTCTGTGCTCACAAGTAAGTGCGAGAAAATGGGGTTTGCCATGCAGTTGACTCATTTAATTTTGATTTGTTTTCTTTTAGTCACAGTGTACTAAATTTGTCACGCCTCATGTGCATGTGTCGTGTCACTAATCGGCATCAAGTTCGAAGCATCATTTTCGTGTGGCATCATTCCCTGCCGTGCCATGAGTCGAGAGCCCCACGCTTTCTCCGAATGGCCGCAAGTTTGCCGGTCACCCGTGTTTTATTGACACGTGCATGGTGTCTGGAGTCGTGTTTGTTTGTTTTTGACCGCTGGCTGATTTGTATGGTCGCCTGTCTAGTGTGGGTGTCTGTATCGTGCTCCCGTGGCTGGCTCTGTGCGTGTTGCGTACTGTGGTGCTGCCTGCCACCGGAAGGGGTGAGCACAGCCGCCCGGCGAGACGGTGAAATGAGTGATGGTCCCGCCGTGCGTCCACAGAGCCCGCCACAGGTTTCCGCATCGCCTTCAACATGTTTGACACCGACGGCAACGAGCGGGTGTCCCGAACGGAGTTCCTGGTGGTACGTACTCGGCGCCGGCGGCCGACGGCTGACTGGGGCTTGGCGTTGGGTCGGCGGGACTGGGCCCCGGCTGGCTGAGTGTCTGCTGGGCGTATGGCGAACGAGGCTGGGTGGGGTGCGGTGGCGGCGCACGGACCGCTGGCCGACCACGGCCGCCGTCGGTAGCCCCTCCCGGGCAGCGTCACGGTGCCGTGGCTTTGGTGAGTGTGACAATTATTCACGAGTTGTGGCCTTGTCATTGCAAACGTAACTGTTCCCAAACGATTAACACCAATTGGTCGCGATTCCTGATATTGTGTGCCTTCGTGTTGAGTGTGGCCGGAAGGCATCCTGCCATTGGAGTTTTGCATGGTGATGGTTTGGTTTCCCCTTGTTTATGGTTTTATTGGAGCACACGCTTCTATTTAAGAGACACCATCTCCCCGCCACATGGCACACACACACACACACACACACACGGGCGCTCGTCCCAACCCTGCCCATATTCCACTGCCCTGACGGTGCATATTCCCTCTGCTCCGGGGGAGGGGACGTGCTGTACCATAACGTGTCGGGAGTCCGCCCTGCTTTCTGTCTGGGGGCGCCTTCCCATCCGCTGCCTCCCGATCTTGCCTTTTCAGCCCAGTCTGGAGGCTTAGTGGCTTTTCTTCCACGCTGTGTTCTCCGCGGGCTCTGGGGTGGCTGTCCTCCCTTGTCCCGAGCGTTCCCATTGTCTGCTGCCTGGCACGGGCTTGTTCTCCGTTGCTAAGGTCAACTTAAGTCTGCATCCTTCTCTGCCTCGAGGCTGCTTATTTTCCTCCATCGCGAACGTGCTGCCTATTTTGCCTCTGGTGGCTGCGTACTTCGTCTTGAAGGAGCCTATTTTCCCTTACTGAGTGATATTCGCCGACGCGTGGTGTTTGTATTCCTCGCCGTCCCGAGCCTGTCACTCTTCCCCGCTTCGATACAGGCCGTTCTAACTCGCCTCGAGGCTGCACTACGTAGCTCCCCAGCCTGGGAGGGGGAGGGAGGGGGCGCCCGCCCCATTACAAGGATACCTCATTCCATTCCGTCTCATAGGTCCCTGCGCTGTTATGTCTCCAGGGTGCCTGTTGTGTCCCATCACGAGCGTGCCCTTTATCCCATGCCTCGTTCCGAGTCTACTTCTCGGACCGGCGAGTGTGTGGTGTGCCCGTCTCCGTCCGTCACAGCCACACTGTCCAGCTTCGCGCCCACCGCTTCGGCCACGTCTTCGCGCCCACCGCTTCGGCCCCGTCTTCGCGCCCACCGCTTCGCCCTCTCTTCGCGTCCTTCTCTGCTGCTGTGCAGCGTTGTGTCGTTTCCTACCGCCCGTACGCGTTCTGGGTTGTACATAGGAGCTACCGCCTTCGCATGTGCTATTCTCGGCCGAGAACGTTTTGAAGGGGACAGAACAAGACGACATTTCGTGGTCGCTGACCCTGTGGGGCTCGCAAACTTCCTGACACTGCCGTAAGTCATCATGCTAAGAACATCTTAAGAGCGTGATGGTTTAGCACAAGGTGTTTAGTGCATACGCACTGCACACGTCAGCAAGCGCGGCTGGTGTGTCTGCATCTGTTACGACAGCTGGCGGCGCCGCGGCCCGGCATGTGGTGGACTGAGGGTGCGCCCCGGCCCGGCATGTGGCGGACACGGGGCGTGCCCCGTGCCCGGCATGTGGTGGACTGAGGGTGCGCCCCGGCCCGGCATGTGGCGGACACAGGGGCGCGCCCCGGCCCGGCACGTGGCGGACACAGGGGGCGTGCCCCGTGCCCGGCATGTGGCGGACACAGGGGCGTGCCCCGTGCCCGGCATGTGGCGGACTGAGGGTGCGCCCCGGCCCGGCATGTGGCGGACTGGAGGCGTGCCCCGTGCCCGGCATGTGGCGGACACAGGGGCGCGCCCCGTGCTCGGCTGGTCGGGAGCCGTGTCGCCCCTCGCATGGACGCGTTACTGAGTGGCACAGTGCCGTACCCAGGCTGTGGTGGGGTCGTTTCATAAGCACGATCGCACCAGCCAGGATGTCGTCAAGTATTTTGCTGCTGTGCAGTTGTACAATGACATGTGGTTCGGTAACGTACGTAAGGAAGACGGCTCGGCACACACAATTTCGGTATTGAACAGCCACTGAATGCTGGTTAAAGCTACGCCCCACAGAACGTCATGGATAAATTGCCAACCGTTCTATGCGAGTCCAATAAATTTCCCGCGACCCGCAGTCAGAAATTGCACACATTCTGGCAAAGAGGTATGTTGAAGGCGCATCGGGTGGCGGTGGCGTTATCTCATTTCTAAAATAACTCTTTTCGCCTGTTTAAGTGGGGATGAATGCTTTGCAAATCAAGTTGAATGCTTTGCAATGGGTATCATCTAAATTGGTTTAGGGAAGGAAGCATGCGTCACAATATAAGGCTTTATGCAGCATAATCACGTGTTCACCAACACTTTTATCAAGATAACTACTAGAGGCCAGAGTGACGTTTTTCCTGTAATGTTTTCTGTCGTTTGAAAGGCGTATTTATGAATTTCTTTACATTTTGACTGAGCACAAGAAGGTTCATAGGCATTTACATGAAATTGGCGTACTATGTGAAGTAGCAAGACGCGAGATAATATTCCCCGCCCGAGAATACACATAAGAATAATGAAAAAGTTAGGATAAGTGCGATATGGGCGAAATTGAGCAGGTGGAAGCATGCTTACGCAAGTGTAATGTGCTTGCTTAAGTTGGGTATGATGCTTGGGTGCCGCCGTTTCCTGATGAATTTACAAACCACAGTGTTGTTCAAGTTCATGGTGTCCCCTCATGTATTCACCTTTTACACGTTGCTCAGGGCTGAACAGAAGCACGCTAACCAGGTTTTTGCACGCCGCCCGGGGTGGAACAGAAGTACACTAACCGGGGCCTCGCTTACACGCCTTCAATAATACGCTCATCGTTATTATGCGGGGTAATATGGCTAGCGCCAATGATGCGTATTTTCGGGCCAGTACAAGTTTCGTGATTTAGATAGAGCCTTTGACTGCAGAGGAAAACGCACAGTGGCCGCTGTTGTTAAAGCGCACAGTCTGTTTCGTTTTTTCGGGCTCCTTTGGTGAGAAATCTGTTGAATATCAATTGCCTATCAAAGTGTAAGATTGCAACGTGAACTATGGTGATGGCTACGCCGAATGATATTTCGGTCGGTACTCCCACTTTTCAATACGGAAGGGAGGGGAGCGGCGGCACTCAGACTGATAATCGCGCGAAATATGTTACCGCACAATGCGGCCCGCTATGGATCGAGACCAGTACTGGCGGTGGCGGCCAGGCGGAAGGTGCTGTCCGTGCTGACCGGAGCGCCGCGCCCATCCGCCTGAGGCGCCGCCGGCGTCGGCCTCCCCTGGCCCGGTCCGGCCCTCTTCGGAGCGCCTGAGGCGCCGGCCCGGAGCCGCCTCACGGGGGCACGGGTCGCCCCCAGACAGCGCCCTAACTCTGCAGCTGACTAACGTCAACGGCGGCCCCAGCCGACTTGTAGTGTTGGCGGGCGCCCGGTACCGGGACACGAGCGGCGCCCCGCCCCCGGCCCTCGACCCGCCCCCGCCGGCGGCAGCAGCTCGGTGACCGCGCCTCTGTAACTGCAGATCTTACGTCTGATGGCACTAAACATGCTCGAAGAGCTGCGGGTAACGTTGTCTGACGAGGAGGACTACGTGCGCACGCGCGCCGCCGTGAGTTGGCCTGACCTGACCTGACCTGACCTGACCTGACTGACCCGACGTCTGGCCTCCCTCCTCGCCTGATCATCGGCCTTCGTGTCCCTGGCTCGAATATCTGGCTGGCTGCTTTGTCTTGTCCGGGCCCGGCAGGTCCGGGCGGTGTCGATCGCCGTCCCGTCCCGCTCGCGCTCGCGCTCCGGCTCGCTCGCTCGCTCGCTCATGACGCCCGCTCAAGAAATGCAGCAAGTGTAGTGGGCGGCAGGAGGCCTGAAGCTAGGAGGGAATTAATTTTTTATATCCAAGGTGTTTCGAAATCTATAGCAATGCGTTGTCTCATCTGCTGCATTCGAACCCAACGGACGACACATTCCACTGCTGCGATTTTTCTTCCTGCGGTTTTATCTCGATTTATGGCAAAACTTAGTAACAGCTCGATGTTATTTTTTAAAAGGCACCTGTGCAAGGCGCTGCGCTGTACAGCTGTGAAGAAGCTGCTACATTACCCCAGGTGCCCTGCGGCTGTGTGGGGCAGCGTGTCAGCACTGAGCCGAGCGTCGTAGCCGTCGCTCAGGGCTTGGTGGCGATGGCCGGCTGGCGCGAGAGCCGAGTGGGAGCGGGCGGACGGAGCGGCGCCGTTCCGGCCCGGCCCGGCCCGGTGGCCGCGCTGGGGGCTGATGCACCTCACTCACCGCCCGTCGGGAATGCGCTCTGGTGGCTGTGACTAACTGGCACGCGTTGCTCCTCATCCTCCTGGTCCTGCCCGCCAGCCGGGCGACGGGGGCGCGCGCCCGCAGCGGCCTCTCGGGTCCCGTCGCCGCAGTGGTCCACCGCGCGACCAGTGCTGAGCCGCCCTCCGGCTCGGCGGATTCGAGTGAGCTGCGCAGCTGCGCGCAGACCCCGCCAAGCTGTGGCGCTGGGCGCAGACGAGTGCAAGGCATGCTGCCAATTAAACTAGGCAAACTGACACCATGTACTCGTCGTGCATATATGATGCTAGTTGGCCGGAATTGGTCATTTGGCAAGAATTACTGGTCACTGTTCGTCACAGGACCTGTCTCAGCATGTTAATTGGGGGAGAGTCCGCACCAGTAACGTCCAAGCGCCCCAGTACAAACGAACCCCCCTCCCCCCAGGGACAGTGCTGCTTTGCCGGCCGCTCACGCTCGACCGCGTCTTTGATACGCTTCAGGCCGAGAATGCGATGATGATATATCTGTTGAGGCAGCTGTTCACAAATAGTATGATTGAGAAAAAAAACTGTAAATGAACTCACAGCTGACTAAAAAGTCGAGATGGGTTTCAGAATTTTGCCAGCTGGAATTTAATAGACGTGGATGATTGCATACTGGAGTAGAGATATCGCCAATAAGAGCTCTTCACGCTTTTGACGATTCTTTTGAACTCCGTTCTGATTGGTTCAATTTCATGAGCTGCTGCGATCGCAAGCGAGGTAAAACATCTTATAAAATGTGGCGAAGTGGGTTGATAGTCCACGTAGAAGGGGACACCGGAATGCTGATACGGCTGAGAGGACATGCTCATACGCCAAAAAGCCATTCGTCCACGTGCGATGATTGCAAAGCAGTCCACCACGCCACGCGTTGCCGATGTCTCGAAGGCAGTAGTGCTCAAATGGGTAAGTTTAACCTTTACTGACCACTGTGACATGAAATTTGGAATCTATACTTTTTTCGTTAGTCTAGCTCCGGTAAAGGGACTGAGGCACGTCGCTTTGTGTAGTTTATATTGGGATCCAGTTAAGTGGAATATTTTTTTGGGGGGTGGGGGGTGGGGGAGGGGGACCGCAATCAGTTGGCAATTTTGAACTTGTGAACGTGTCGTACGACGTTAATGACCCACAGTTTCCATGCTTGTTGGCCTCCGGTAAATCTTACTGCGCCATGTCCGGTGGTGTACTTATTGCAATGGTGGCACGGAAAGATTGCTTTAAGCATGGCGGCATGTCATGTTAGGCGTGTCAGCGCTTAGGTATCTCCGTAATGAAAAGTTCATCAATCCTCCAGCGATTTGCTCTTAAAACAGGCCCTGGGTCACCACTTTGTGCAGCTGGTCTGTTCATTTAATTTGTAGGAAGCGTTCCTGCAAAACCCGACAATTCTCAAAAGTACAAGCACCTTTCACAGAGCACATACCGTTTATTGGGTACCTCTATGATGTCTGCCTCCTTTCAAGTTAGGGCAAAGCCACATTTCAAAGCGCCTCCAGCAAATCCCCTCACACATATGGGTTGCTTTGGGAATTTTCATTTATGTTGAGTTACACTCGGGTCTGTTTTTGTCGGTTGTTGCTTTGAACTCTAGAATAGGGGAACTGTAATAATAAAATCGATAACGGAACCCGTCACTCGTCAGAAATCTATAATCTCTGAGTTTAACAGGTCTGCAATGAGCGTGAGGGAAGGTGCCTGGAAGCACTCCCAAAGCACCTTCAGAGCTTTGGTTGCAAAATCGCGCCGTGTGGTCTGGTTTCTGTTGCGTTAACTTTGCTGTGCGAGGCAGTCCTCGATGGTGACAGTGTTGTTGGCCCGTTTCCCTCGCGTCAGTGGGTCTCGCGGGGTTGTAGTGCGTGAGCCGTGGCCGGCGTGCCCCGTACCGGGACGGCAGCGACCGCCGTGGTCGGGGACGGCCGTCCGGTCCGGCCGCGGCCCCGCTGGCTCCGGCCCGTCCCACCCATGGGCGCAGCGGCTGCTGCGCGGCGTCAGTGGTGCTCGTGAATTTCGTGTAGTCGGCCGCGACGTTCTGTTCGCTTTCGTCCATGGTTTGCGTTGTATTCTGTTATCCTAGGTTCCCTGTGTTGAAAAAATCCTAGAGCAGCCTGGGCCTCCTGCAAATATGCAGAATTTCTAGCGCCTCTACTTGTATGAATGTGCTGTGCCTTCTGTTTTACTAATAGCACTCGGCTTAGTCTGTCAACTCTGCATCAGCTTTAGACTTCTGAGCATTTGTTGGTGGACGGATCTCTACTTTTATTCAGCTATTCTTCTGCCGTGTGCGTGCACTGAGGCATCGACGCTTAAGGCCAACACGCCCTGTCCTCAGGCTTATCCCATCCACTGTTCTCCACAATTGTAATAAGTGATTCGTACGTATACATTTTTTCATTTAAATATTGAGGATTCTGTCTGACTATCCTAAGTGCTTAAGTATTCCTCGTTTGACATTTATTACGCTAAGTATGTGAACTGTTGAGTTGCATCGCCTCGGTTCATTTTGCGTCAGTGGTTGAGTTTGTCGCCGCTAGATGGGAGATGGGACGCTAACATGTGCTGACCAGTGTCCTTGTGGGTCTGTGTTTTGCATGGCAGCTGGAGAAGATCTTCAGCCACGCGAGGAGGGAGCGGCGCGGCTCGAGCACCACCACAGACTCCGAAGGTGGGTCCTGCGCTGGCCAACAGCTGCGGCACCGCCGCCCAACGCAACGCCGCCCAAACGGCACCACAATTGTCACGTTGACCATAGGGACGGCTTGTCGGACCAGGGCAATGGTGAAGCCCCGGGCTCGACTGGGACTATGTGCGCCTGTTACACTGTGTGCCAGGAGCTGCCAGTCTCGCGTGCGAAGCTGGAACAGAACCCTGCGCGTGCGCTGTGTATGGTCACATTGGCGCTGTGATGTCCTGGCTTTTGTTCTTCCGTACTTCTTCACGTTCTGTACGTAGTTCTCTCCTTTCATCTGCGCGTTTGGTCGTGGCTTGCGCCGGTCGGTTTCAGGTTTGCGCAGCTTCGGAAGAGCGCTGTGCCAGCGGGCCGCGCGCCGGCCGGTGCAGGCGGCGGACTGGGCCATCGGCCGGGGTCCGCTGTTGGCGGCAGGGCGGGGTGGTGCCGCCGCGGCCGGCGCGCCGGCCGGTGCAGGCAGCGGACTGGGCCACCGGCCGGGGTCCGCCGTCGGCGGCGGGGCGGGCTGGTGCCGCCGCGGTCGGCGCGCCGTAGCCGCTGCACGAGGCCGGCTGCCGGGCCCGCGCCGGTGCGCTCCGGCACCCACAGTCTAGCTGTAGCTGCGGTCGGGGCTTGGTCGGGGACGGTACATCACCACAGCGACAGCACACGGCGGCGCGCCGGCAGCAGGCTTGTCGGACGTGTTCTGATGACGGCCCTCTTCGGGATATGCATGCGGTACTATCGCACTTCTCAACTTCGTAGGAGATCGGCGGGCTGAGACAAGTTTGTTTGACATTTAACATGATAACGAAGTGCTCCACACTATTTTGTATTGAGTGTTCAACTGCTTGAATACCCAATAGCTGAAACAATGCGAACTGCGTGATACTGCTGATAAGGTGGCATTTGCCACAGCTGGTGGTGCCTGTGGTGTGGTCTTTATGACTTGCTGGATATCACTGGGGCCAGCTAGCTCAGCGGTGCCGTACGTCAGAGTGAGTTGATTTCGGTTGGCACGAGGACATTGGATTAAGGGAGGAGGAAGCGTGACCCTGGATATAATCAACTTGCGGTATCGTCAACCGTTCCTCCTTGGTCAACACGTGACATGCGGGAATCGTAATAAGCTTTATGATGTTACGGTGCTATGACCCTGTTTAAGACGGATCGGAAGTTCAGTGTTCAACTATGACACATTATACGGTGTACGTTCTATACACATGCACACACATTGCATACACCTGCACATATACACACGCAGATAAGGCTTGGGGCGCTGCGCTGGGTGCTGGTGGCGGCTGTCTGTCTGGGTGCTTGGGCGTGTTATCAGGCGTGAGTTGTGCGCTCTGGCCTGGCGTTGGTGACCTAAGCCATGTTCTCTCTTTCTCTCCCACCGTGTAGGCTTGTATAAGCTCGACTACGATCCCCGGGCTCGTGTCAACGTGCTCAGGAGCGGCCGTAAGTGGCACCATGGGCACAGGCAGTCGGAGGCGGCGGGCGGCGCCGGCTGCCCCGCCCGTGTGGATGACACCCTCCCGCCCTCACCGTCGCCCACGCTCGTGCATCGCGCACACACGCACACCCATACACACATACTCAGACCATCCACTCGCGCACACACACCGTCACCGACGCCCACGTGTCGCACACTCGGACCACCCACCCACTTACACCCGCGCACACACGCCGTCACCGACACCTTCATGTTACACACTGAACACCCGCTCGTTCACGCTTGCTGGGCGTCTCCGCACTCGAACGCGGACTGATCACACACACACACATATGCCCCTCACTATGCTCGCAGACGCATCTCCACTCTCTCGGCGTCAGCCGTGCGCTCGCCGCCTTACACTCACGTCCTGATACACCTAGTCGCGCACACCCTTGGCCTTGCTCGCAGTCACTAGCACCTCCCTCTCCCCTGTTTTCTGTACCATTCCATCACTTTCTCCCTTTTGCTGTCCGTGTTATGCTCTCCTCTCCGTCCCTGCCCCTTCCCTCCATGTCGTCTGCTACCACCCATGCATCTGTTACTGCTGTCCATCTCTATCTTTATCTTTTCCACCATATCTCTCTTCCTAGATCACCATATTATCATGTGTACCGCCTTTCCCCATCTGTTTGCCACCGACGCCTCTTTGGGCGTCTAGGTGTGACCGTAGAGTAATGTTTGCCCCGTGCGCGGCGTATGGCTGCCGGTCGCGGCCGCCTCGGGCCCTCGGCCCTCTAAATAGATGTGGCGTGCGTGCGCGTGTGTGTGTGCTGCATGGCTGGACGGAGGCGGCCTGACGCTGCCCTCTGCCGACCCAGGCCCCCCGGCCGGCCCGCTGGACGTCCGCACCATCGACCGCCGCCTCTTTGGTACGCCACCCGCGCGCGCGCGCACCCGCACGCACCCAGTGACGGGCACGCTGGCTAACGGCGGCCGGCGCGACGGAACTAACGCCGGGTGGCGGCGGCCGGGACTGGCAGTGCTGCTAACGCGCTCTGCGGCGTCGCGGTGTTCTCACACGCTCGCTGCCGCCGACCGTACTGGCGGTGACCGGTGCCAGCTGGCGGGTAACCTGGTGGGGCTTTGGTAACGGTGATGACCGGTGGGGGTGATAACACTTCGCACCTCGAACGAGCTCGAGCGCGGCAGTCGGCGACTCGGTTCGGAGGAGGGTTGATACCGCGGTGGCATGATGTTACTAATCGGCAACATTTGCGGGCCAACCACAGAACAGATCCACTGCAAGGTGGACCTAACAGCGTGTGACAACGTTTGCGTGCTCTTTTAACGGCAGCATGGCCGACTCAGGATGTCCAGGATGGTTTGCGGCCGCGTAGAACACAAACCGCAGCGGTCTCGTCACAACACGGGGCGCACCACCATAACGCATCGGACTTACGTGTGAGGCCCGGGCGCCGTGATAGTCGGAATTAGCGACCACGTTTCGCACATTTTCACTCACGCGGCGTGTCGTGCCGTGCCGTGCCCCTGTGCCTGCCGGTGGTCTGCGGTCTGCCGGGTCGTCGCCGTCTCCAGCGGTAGTGCCGCCCCGCACCCGCCGGTCCCTCGCCGTGCGCTGCGCCGGCCGACCGCGGGGTCTGGCCGGCCGGCCGGCCCCTGGACTGCCCAGCCCGACCGTGTGCCCTGCCGTCCGCACGTGCCCGCCGCGCCTGGCTCGCAGTGTTGCACGACTGGCGTGTCTCTGGCTGTGGCGCGCTCGCTCGCGCTCTACATGTGTCTGTGTGGCCGGCCCTCCACTCCCGCGACTGTGGTTAGTGGCCGGCGGAGCTCGACGGCTGGCAGTGTTGTGCCGGACTCATTCGGTCAGGATTAAGTGAAATTGGACCTCCGCTCGTGCCCGGCTGTCCGGAGAATCCAGCAATTGCGGAGAGCTGCTGTCTGATCGATGGTGGGCGCCGATCGGAGCGACTTTTCCCTTCCGGCGCGGGCTGCTCCCAATGTACCGAAAACCTTTGACTGCAAGTCGGCGAAAACATCCGAACAGGAACTTCAAAGGCTCAGGCGTCCGTTCTCACACCAAGAGGAGAGGAGGGGCATGCCAGACGCTCTGCTCCATGAGCATTCGTCGTGTGCTACGGTCGTGATAACGTCTGTTGCGAGTAGATGTCTGAATAATAACGTTTGCTGCATGTGGCCGGCTGTCATCTTGTGTTGGTCTCTTCTGCCCTGTCATTTTCACTGCCCTGTTGTATTGGTGGCTTCTTCACAGTTTCTCTCAGACACAGTATGTCTGACTGTAGCTGCGGGTTATTCCTCAGCGAACATACTGATAGATATTGCGTCGCTGGGTGGGTGTTCGGTGTCATCATTAATGCATGACTTCCTCGAGGTTTTCCCATGTCGGACTCACGTGATATGATGCGAAACGATTGTGACGGTGTGACGCTGTCGACACCCCCTCCCCTTCCATCCGGTCCGACACGGCGCGGGGCCGCGAGAGTCCTCTGACGGCGATCGTCGATCGGACGCACCTGCGTGAGGGATAAGGGGTCGGGAGTCGTGGCGTAAGAGATAAGGGGCGTAGGGGTCGTACAGAGGCGCGGCGCGCGGACGGCCGCGGACCTGAATGACCTGCCACGGGCTTGACTGACCTGCTGCGGACCTGACTAACCTGCCGCAGACCTAACTGACTTGCCGTGGACCAACCTGACCTGCCGCAGACCAAGCTAACGTACCGCAGCCCAGCCTGCCCTGCCGCGGACCTGAATGACCTCCCACGGGCTTGACTGACCTGCTGCGGACCGGACTAACCTGCTACGGGCGTAATCCATCTGCCGCGGACCTGACTGGCGTGCCGCTTGACTGACTCTGTCGTGCCGCGAACTTGACTCTATCGTGCCGCGGACCTGACTCTATCGTGCCGCGGACCTGACTATCGTGCCGCGGACCTGACTGACGTGCCGCTGGCCTCACTCTGTCGTGCCGCGGACTTGACTCTATCGTGCCGCGGACCTGACTCATTGGGACGGGCGGTTTTCGGAGCCTGCTGGATTAGATGTGGGGTGGTGACGGGGGCGCGGCAGAGTCGTCACCACCCGCTGGGTCGGCGCTAGTAGCACGACAGACGAACACAGACCACCCGCTCCACGTGCTGGCGCACCAGAAGTGGTGTCGCTGGCAAACGTGCTTTCGTAACGCTGGGCGCGTGCCTGTCGTAGGCTCGGACGACGACGTGGAGGATGACATCCTGCAGCAGAAGAAGAAGATCAACACCACCCTACTGGTGCACTTCTTCGGCCCCAAGGGCGACCATGAGCTGTCGTACGACGAGTTCAAACAGTGAGTTGGCATGGCTGCGAACGGCCCTGCAATATGTGACGAATTAGAGGTCTCTGAAACTCCAGGGTGCAACGGTTGCCCACACAGATCTCCTCTGCTGTCAAAGTTGCCGTGGCTGGAGGTGTAGGGCCTACTACATTAGCTGCAGCAGGTGTGGGCTCTTCTATATCCGTTGGACTGCATGCGGCCTTCAGTTGCGGACACCGGTGTGTCCAACCTTCATGTATACCTGTTACATGGATGATCTACATACATACATATATATATATATATATATATATATATATATATATATATATATATATATCACAAGGTGATAGTGGGATCAGAACCTGACGACAGCGCTTCGTCAGGTTCATGGAGAACCTGCAGGAGGAAGTGCTGGAAATCGAGTTCCAGGAGTTCGCCAGAGGCTACCACAAGATCAGCGAGGTCGAGTTTGGCAAGATCCTGCTGCGATACACCTATCTGCGGCCAGACCAGTGGGTGTTGGCCTCCGGCCGTTTTGCAGCGGGGGGGGGGGGGGGGGGGGGGGTAACGCCCCGGCGCCGGGCGTGCCCCTGCGCGCGGCGTGTGACGCAGGTCGTGCCGCCACCGCTCCCGTTCGACCGGCTGACGGCCGGCGATCCGCCCGGACACTCATTAAGCCGTTGGGCTGGTCGCGTGCTCTGCCGATAATAGGACGGGCGCCTGTATGGGCCGGCAGGTATTGGGCGGCGCGCTCTCAATATCGGCCCGGTTCCGGCCCCAGGAAGCCATGTGCGCGCCGGCTGCCGGCCATCAGTATGCCCGGCCGCTGGGTTCCGTGGGCCGGCTCCGTGGCCGGCCGATGAGGCGACGGCCCTCCTCTACCGGCTTGCGGCTATCCTCTGTGCAGACTGCCGCCGACTCCTCTGTGCCGTCTGTGCAGCTATCCTTGTGTCGAATGGCGCTGACCTATGTGTAGACCGGGCCGCCGACTCCTCTGTGCCGGCTGTGCAGCTATCCTCTGTGTCGCGACAAAATAAAAATGGAATATTTCGGGGCGTCGGTTCAAGGGTGACCTGTTGTGACCTGAGGACCGAGCTCGCTTGGTATGCTCGTATTCAGCCTGACTTCTGACCCGTGCGTCGCTGCGAGCGCAATCCCCCGGTATGGATTCCTCAAACTTTCATGGAGTCGGGGTTCACTGTTTGCTGAGGGGAGCTTCTGGTTTTGTGTGGCACGGTGTTACGGTGCGTGGCTCGCCGTCGGCCGTGAAGTGAGGGTCGGCGCTGCGCCTGAGACCAGCCCGTCTCCAGGTACGACCTCTACATCGACCGGCTGGTGGAACGCATGGAGGAGACGTCGTTGCGAGGCATCACGTTCGGGGAGTTCAGGGACTTCTGCAACTTCCTCAACCAGCTGGAGGACTTCGCCATTGCCATGCGCATGTACACCATGGCCGACCAGCCCATATCTCAAGGTGGGACACTGTGTGCCGCCCCGGGTTTGTCGAGGGCGGTTTTCCCATGTATCAGTGTAGAAGATGTGCCCAAGCATGCGTTGTGGATGTTATCGTGTTTGTTGTCTTGATAGACACACTTGACCTAGAAATGGGTGTTTTTTCAGAACCTGCCTCGCAAATACATAGTTCTAGACCTGGTACGAGACACCTAAATTTGACAAGCTGATTGATTGTCGCGTGCAGTTACTTCATGGCTTGTTTGAGAACTTGGTCAACTGCATATATGTGTAGCGTGATTAACGTTGTCAGCACAAACGACGTACAGTACATTACCGTAGGCCAAAGCATTGCCGTCTGGTAAGCTAGCGGTGCCAGACTGGCGCGGCCGGCAGCCATGTGTGTCGTGTCTGCCCGCCCGGCTGTCCGGTCGTGCTGCCGCGGCGATGCCGTGTTGTTGGCTGCCTCCGCGGCCGCGGTGCTGGCGGCCGCTCCAGGGGGGGGGGGGGGGGGGGGGGGGCGCTCGGAGTCGGTCCTGACCTGAGTGACCCTCGGTCGGCCGGCCCGTCGGCAGACGAGTTCCTTCGGGCCGTCAAGATCTGTACTGGCAAGTCGCTCTCGGACCACGTGGTCGACACCGTATTCTGCATCTTCGACGAGGACGGCGACGGCCAGCTCAGCTACAAGGAGTTCATCGGCTTCATGAAGGAGCGTCGGCAGCGCGGCTTCAAGGTAGCTGCGGTGCCGCCGGCGCGGGCCGCCAGCTGGGGGTGGCGGCCAGCATTACGGCCGGTCCTGGCGCCGCTCATGTTGGCACGTTCAGTCGGGGCTCCCAGCGATTATACCGGCTTGGTTCGGGCAGTCGGCACACGCTCACGTGGCCCACACTCTTGACCTTTCATACATTCGTGCTTGCTGTCGTTTGTGATTCAGAAAGGTCGCGGAAGGGGATACAGATGTATGGGGTGCGGCGCCTTACGCTCTCGGTCCGCCCGGTCCCAGCACTAATCCGGCTCGCCTGCCTTTCAGACCACTCCGCGGACCTTCGGCTGGCAGGCGTTCAAGTACTGCGTCAAGCAGGAGATGCGCACCTCCTCGTGAGCGTGTCGAGCGCGGCGGCGCGCCCCAGTGCGACCGGAGCCGTGACCGTGGCCGGGCGCCGACCGAGCTGGGCCGGCGGCTCGGCGAGCCACTCTGTGCAATGGCCGGCGAGCGGCGCCCGGCGGCCAGGCCTCGCTGGCCAGTGGTTTTAGTCATTTGATGGGACAATGTCGAGTACTGGTCCATACAACTGAACACACGGATGATGTGCGGTGTTGACGAGTGGTGAAGAAGACGCTATGAACAAGCGCGAAGCCTGTAACATCTGCCTCGGTACCTTACGTGGATGTGCGTGTCCGTGAGACCATCCCACTGTCCCGGCAGGTGGTATTTGCGTGTCAGTGTCACCGACAGTCATTGCCAGCTCCGTTAGTTGTTACTGTTTTCGCCATGCTTGTCGGGATGGTCAAGTTGTGTCCCTGTGGTAATGTCCGTTTGTGCATGGTGTTTTTGAATTCTTTTTTTGGTTCGATCTGGGTGTTTGCATTACATATGATAGCCACCGCATAACGTGATCTTCCCATGCGCATGTGCGTGATATATCCTTGTTCGGAGAGACATTGATGCTGTCTCTAGCGTGTCCCCGTTTTTGTCCTGGCGTGTGTGGAAAGCTCGCAGTGGTTGAATCCGCTGACAAATGTAAACATTGGTGGGCGGGGTTTGACGCTGACTTTGCTTGCTGAAAATTAAATGGCTGCTGCGTCCGTTTCAGCAATACCCGTTCTGTTAGCGCAAATAATGCATAATTGCAAGAAACTTCCTCACATCGGCGTTTTGTACTCATCACTGACACGTCTGAATGGCACGCAGCGCGCGTGGGTTCGATGTTCCATTCCAGTTTGATTACCAACCGCACTGCGTCATAACGCACATAGTTCATAGGACACTGACTTAGAACGCCAACACTGCTATCTGAACAATCAGCCACTTAAGCGCAGGAACAAGGCTTCGGTCAAGCCTCCAACAAAGCCTCTGTGTGCGGCGTCGCTGGTGGGCTGGCGGTGCGCCCGGCCTCACAGGTCTAGCGTGTCCGCTGGACCGCCGAGTGGCCCCGCCGCGGGTCGCGCCGGGGGCGCCATTAGGCGGCCGTGTCGGCTGGCGGTCCTGTGCTTGGCCGCTCGCCGCCGCCGCCGCCGCCATCCGGCAGCGAGGTGAAGGTCAGGTGCTGGGCCTCGGTCGGCTCGCTGCCCAGCAGCGAGGTGAAGGTCAGCTGCTGGGCCTCGGTCGGCTCGCTGCCCAGCAGCGAGGTGACGGTCAGGTGCTGGGCCTCGGTCGGCTCGCCGGCGTCTGTCACCTGGTGACGTCGCGGCAGCGCCACACTGCTGGGCGCCTCGGTGCTGAGCGTGCGGCGCCGGCTGGGCGCCCGGCCGCCCAACCCGCTCCGAGCCTGCAGCACTCGGTACTGACGCCGCAGCTGCGTCCGCACCTGGGAAGACCCCGGTCCAGACGATAGAGTCGGCCGCCGGGTGGCCAACTGCGAGAGGTGGAACGGAGATGCTGGAGGTGGGGGCTGAGGTGGAGGCGATAACACAAAAACGCCGCAGTATCTTCGTACATGCATCTGGTACCACTTGCATGCGAATATCCAACAAAAATATTTGATAATATGCAAGGGCCGAGCCCATTAAGGGAACAGAATGGCGCCTCTGTGACAAGTACCATTGTTACTTCCGTACCGTGCGGAGGAGTGAGTGGTGCAAAACCAGGCGTGGAAATTTGAGCGAAGTTCGGCATGTATGACTGAAGTGAAGAAGTCGTTTGACAAAAAGTGGAATGGCGCGTTTCTGACACTTTTCAGTTCATAGTGCTTGTTTGCCATTCTTAAATTGTATTTGGGTAATCCCACGGCACACGAGTACATTCATCACCAGTAGCCGTCCGCTTATTTAGGCGCACGAGTTTGTCAGATGTCGCCCGCTGCGACACCAGGCGTGGCGTGGCACGACCGCGCTACTACCCGGTGTAGCGCGGTGGTGCCGCGCTACTGCCACGCACCTAAAAAAAAACAAAAACAAAACGGCAGCTGCGTCTTGGCGGGCCCGGCCCCAGCCGCGAACTTTACCTCAGCGTTTGTGTAGAAGTATATGCAGGCGACGACGGCGCCCTGAAGGCCGCTGATGAGGTAGCTGGCGATGTAGTAGGCCTGCTCGGCGGCGCAGTCGACGTCTTCCTTGGGCGGGAGTGCTGTCACCAGGAACTGCAGGCCGAACAGCGGCACCAGCATGGCCAGAGCGCGGAACGACCGTCTGCCGCACGGACGGCAGGGGGGGGGGGGGGGGTTTAAACTGCAGCCCGAACAGCGGCACCAGCATGACATCGTCTGCCACACGTACAGCAGGCGGGTTCAATGCTGAGCACGATAATGCACCTCGTTTTCCGTCACAAAGAAGTATACTCATCGGAGATCATCAAATTTTTAATTGGGCCGGGACCGCTGAGATTTTGCTCAAACTCATAAGGCCAGTAGCGATGGACATGCTCGTCCGTGGCGCATCCCGATTTCCACTGTATTTTAGGCTCCAGAAGTCATCGAAGTTGAAGACCAATGAACGCCTAACTCCATGTTTGGTTCAAATTTAATAAAGATTATGATATTAAATCGACCAAAGGTTATTGAGGTTCCATATAATTTTGCATGCACCGTTCTGCTAGGGTTATTAATTAGAGTGACGAGAACGACATGCACCATCGTAATGAGCATGACGAACCGTGATTTGTTTCAATAATCGATTCTGTAAAATAATGCAAGCAAGCATGGGATGACCTTGTTCTTTTTTAACTCATTTCGATACACTCTTTTCATCATTAATAAGATCACGTATTTCTTTCTAGGCAAGGGGGGCCTTTTAAGAAGAACACTAAGGGGTACATGATCGTTCCCGTCTGGAGCTGCAGGGACATTCCGTTCCAGCCTTCCGGCTGCCATTCTGGCAACATGGGCGGGATCCCTTGGTCGATCCGGAGGGCCTTATAGGGATACATCGTATGGCATTCGTCCCTTCTTGACGCGGGAGGCCTTCTGACCCATGCAGCTGGCCTCGGATCGACGCAAGAACCTCTTTGACGCAATAACATCCCTGATCGCCGCAGGCGGTCCACTAATTAGCGTATATACCCAGTCCGGCTTAACGGACCCATGCCGGGATTAGGTTGGGGGCCCACCGTTTGGTACCGCGGTCCTGACTGACACAGGATCCATCCATTGTCTCAATGCAAACACTCCTTATAAGCTGAAATGTTTCCTTTCATTGACAGGGGACCCCGACCAGAGGTCCTCTGTCATTCGGGGTCCCGTCCTCGTCCCTGTTGAGCAAATGTTCCCGGCCGACTTGTGGCTCCTTGTTGGCAAAGGACATCCTGTTAGGCACTGGGCCACTGACCGATGCAGGAGCCCTGCACTATCGCGGGAGCCCCGACTTCGCAAATCGCGGGCCCGACCTTGTCCCCGCTTGGGAAATGGGTCCCGAGAGCTCGAACCGACACAGAGCCGACTGTTCGGTGTTGGTGATCTCTGGCCGAAATAGAGGAACGCTCTGTCTGAGAGGTACCCGATCGGTACAAGAGACCCTCTAACTGACATTTGAGATCACGGCCCCAGGGGTGGAAGTCCTTAATGTGACCTACAGCCAGCCCTTCGGGCTCTTCAGCCCTCCAATCGGACTTTTTAACTTTGGTCCCGAGGGGTCTCTCTTCGGACCTCCTCAAACAAAGGCGGTATCCGACTCGGGGCCACTAGCTGACACATGACCCCTTGTTAGCCACTGACTGTGCGCCCCTGGCCGACACGGGGCCCACACATTGTTTCAGGGACCCAGGCCAATGCAAGCCGTAGCCCCTAGCCTTGCTCCTGCTTGGGAAATGGGCCCCAGGGTTCAGACTAACAGGGAGCCAACTGTTCGGTGTTCATGGTCTCTGGCCAACCGAGACACACGCATTGTCTCAGAGGTCCTCAAACGGTGCGGAGGGACCTCTGACTGGTATTGCAGGTCACGGCACTACGGGCCGCGATTCTTTTTGTGACACTCAGCCAGTCCTTCGGGGCCCTTATACCCTCCAACCGAGCCATTGATCGTCGGTTCCGTTTAGCCGCCGGGTCCCTTTCGCACCTCATCGAACACTGTCCTTGGTCGGCTCGGGACCCTTAGCGAATACAGGACCCTCTGTCAGGCATCGCGCTGCGGTCGATACCGACTCGGAGCTGATTGTGCGGTACTAGTGATGCCTGATTGACATTTAGGCCCATTTCAACGCAGGAGGTCCGCGATTGGTGCAAAGAGCGCTTTACCATTTGAGGGTCCGTCCTCATAGGCCAAGGCCCCGAAATGAGGCTCGACTAGCGTTTCGTGCTTTTAAGCAATCCAATCGGGCCCTTGATCGTCGGTCACGGTGGGTCTTCCAGGGCCTCCTCAAACACTGCCTCCGGCCGGCTCGGGCCCCTCGCCAACACAACACTTTGAGGAGGCCCTGTGACCAGGGCCTCCTCAAACACTGAACCTCTGGCCGACTCGGGACACTTGCCAACACGGGGCCCCCTGTGACCAGGGCCCCTAAAACACTGCCTCTGGCCGACTCGGGACACTTGCCAACACGGGGCCCCCTGTGACCAAGGCCTCCTCAAACAATGCCTCTGGCCGACTCGGGACCCTTGCCAACACGGGACCCCTTGTGAAGTGCTGTGGAACCTTGACAGACACAGAGACCCGGACCAATGCAATTCGCTGGCTCCTGCTTTGTCCCTGCTTGCATGGACAAAGCAAGAGCCAATGTATACATAGCAATGTATACATAACAGCAGTGATAGCCTTATTCATCACAAGAAAACCAGGAGAATGGAGATACAGATGCGTTGATATTTCGGCAACATGCCTCTATTGGAAAGAATATCAGAAGTAGCTTCAAAATTGTCTGCTGATCCTGCTCGACCTTTCAGTTTTTTTAACAGCGAGCCCCATTTTTTAGAGGTCGCTAACATTCAGGGGATTAAACAAGGAGCACTTGCCAGCCATCACTACGACACAGTGCTTGTCTAACTAAAAATGTGAACAAGTGACAAATACATGTACATGCAAAGGTATTCAAGTTAACAGTGATGTGATGCGTGCTAGCTTAAAATCGTGTACATGTATGAGTGATGCCTGACACGTGATGTGCGATGCCTGCCTAATTGAAATCAGTGGCATGGACAATTGATCCGCGAGACGTGATGTCTGTTCACTTAACTCGCTTGCATGTTTGAATAAAGCATGACAAGTGATGCTTGTTTACTTGAATTCGTTTGTATGCACATGATTTGTCGCGTATTTTAATTCTTAGTTAGATATGCACTGTATCGTGGTAATGACTGGCGATCGCTACTGGTTTAATCCTCTGAATGTTGGTAACCTATTAAAACCATGCCTCCCTGTTAAACAAAACCTGAAAAATCGAGTAGCATCGGCAGGCAATTTTGAATTTTCTACTGGTTTTCGTCTCGATAAAGCCATATTGCCGAAACATCAACACATCTATATCCCCATTCGCCTGTTTTTTTTCTGCGAGAAATAAGGCTATTACTACCGTCGTTCCTTGTTTTGATTACAACCTGGTTCCTGGGTTTTAACATCTTTTTTGCGAAGGAGCAGAGAAAAAAACAGATTGAGCACATATGCATCGCACGTGTCCAAACAATTCCAGAAGTTGGAGCTGGTTTCCGGTGGTTGAAGCCATGTCAGTGATCACTTGTCTGGACACATGCGATGCATATGTACTCAATCTGTTCTTTTC